GTCATCTTCAGCTTGTCCTAAACCGTAGTCAATTCCGCCGGGGTCGAACACCGTCGCCGCTGAGTTCGTTACTCCGACCTCAGCTATAGTACCTTCCAACAGTGATACCTCTGGTAATTCATAGTGGTCGGCTGCGTCAGAGCCCGTATTCGCTGAGTTCACTGCGATGGTCGATCTGACTCCTGCGTGTTCAAACTTGGCTCCGAGGTAGATGGTATCATCGTCACGCTGTCTAACTACTTCCGGACCGGTCGTAGTCTCCATAGTCTCCAACGCTGAGTCCGCCGTAGCTGGGTCGTCGTTCGGCTTTATTCCTTCAGGTAGTAATACCTCCCGACTATCATAGTCCTTGGTCGCGTCGGAGTGATCATCCGCTGAGTTGGTTGTGACGGCAGAACTAACTTCCGTGCATGCAAACGCGTCTTCGGCATAGCTGACATCCTGACAACATGCTGTGGCCACGTCCGAGGCACTCTCAGTGTTTAGATCTGCTGACGCCGAGTACACTGCCCCCGACTGGACAATGCAGGCTTCCGGTGTACCCATCGCTGAGTTCACCACGGCTGCGGAACTTGGTCTAATGACTCCAAACTTGGCTCGGTTGTCAGCAACGGGTTGGGCGTCACTTAGGGCGCGTTCCGAGCGTTCTTCAAGGTCTCCTTCCGTTATAGCTGAGTCTTCGGTCGCCGACACGTCTTCCTTGGCCCTTACTTCACTTGTTTCTTCAACCGCTGAGTTCGTGTTGACGTCAGAAATGGCGCCATCGTCTTCAAACTTGGACAGCTGATAAGAGACATATTGGCCATCGTGTATCACCGGCGTACGATCCGCTCGGATGTCTTCCAGCCTGAACGCTGAGTTTATAGCCGGGTCACCCCTTGTCACACCTGAAGTCGATATGACGTCTGCGTTACCGCGACGCCTCTCGTCGTCGCCGGCTTCAGTATCAGCTTCGATCCTTCTCCAGCGTTCGGCGCATGTTAATTCTGGTCCACTTTCCACTGGATGAGGTCGTCTTTCCACCGCCGTCGGAGTTGGTATTTTCGTCTTTCCACAGCTGGCGGCTGGTGTGACAACCAGTCTTCGTACAGTCGTTGTTCTTTCTGCAGCAAATCTTTATCCATCGCCGACTCAAATGCCAATATCTGCCAGTCACGGTACTTCGCCGAGTTCACGCGGACATATCCCTCATTGGCCAGTACTCCGTGTGGTTGCCATTTTATCACATAAAAGTGAGGTGGGCACCAGACTGACGTCGGTCGTACGTTCGTAATCAGGACATGGGTTGGTTTTCCTCGGCGACTAAAAACAACTGTTTGAATCCAACCCTTCGTCTGTCGCACCCACAAGTCATGCGTCGACTCACTGGGTTGTCGCCTGGGCAATTTGAACTCAGCGGTCATTCGACTTTCGATTGTTAACCCATCTGGTGGCCCACATGGGACATTTGGTCCGAACTCGGTCTTTGTCGGCGCATTACTTGATTGGATGAGTGGGATCACCATCTCATCGGGTAGCTTGACCGCCGGGTTGTACAGATCCAGACGGATCCCAGCTGGGATCATGAAGTCAGTGCCGAGAATCAAATCGACTCCGGCATGATGAGGCATTATCCATACTTCAAACTCGTATGCCACTTCCCAGCCGAGTGTCACCTTCACAACTGCTCTTGACGTTGTCACCATTCTATCTTTACTTATTCCTTGTATGTCGATTCGCTTATCTCGGCTGGCCACTCTCTTGAGACGCAGTTTCCTCGCGAAGTATTCACTAATCGCCGAGACATTTGCTCCGGTATCCAATAATATCTTGGTCCTTCGGTCGTTCACTGCACCCAATACGAGAGCTCTCATTCTAACTCGGCGATCAAACGTCTGTGCTGACCACCATCCCAGCCGTTCTCCCAGAAGCAGATTCATGATTCTGGTACGATGCACAGCCTGGTCTGACTGCCGAGTTACACTTGCAATCGCTCGGTGGTCATCATCTAACTCACCGAGCTCACGTTCAATTACGTCGATTTCACACATCCAATTGCCATCCCCGCTTCTTCCCTCGGGCCGTCCTGCTTCGCCTACGAAGGCAAACAAGAAGTTTGCCTCAACTGCAGGTTCAGCTGACTGTGGCAGCCCGGCATATTCCAACCCAGTCAGTGTTGGCGGGCCGCCGAGTTTAAATCACTCGGCGCGTAAAGGTTTTGCCGGTCTTCTGGCACTTGCGATTTGTCGACAGAGTTTTTTACGAACGCAGCCAGCTTCTCATATTGACGAAACAGCTCACACTGGCCGCCTTCATGGACTTGTCTGCAGAATTTGCAGCGTCGTCGACAGTAGTGAGCCGAGTGCCCATTCTTCCACAAGCTGCACAAGGTCCACGCTGAGAGTTGTCGCGTGATCCATCTCCACGGTTCGACTGTTCTCGTTGGTTGTACGGTCGCGGAGGTCGGTTCGCTGAGTTTCCCCAACTTCGATTTGAGCCACTCTGGTCTCCCGCCGAGTTCTCTCGGCGGTCCGGTGTATTTCCTTTATCATTGGAAACGCCGGCGCTTATGTAGTCGTCGTCTTCCGCCGAGTCGTGTCCTCCGGACTGGTCCTCATCATCCCATTCGTCTTCGGAGTTGTACGGACTCGGCGGGTTCTGATCGATGAGTTCCTCCCCGTCGGAGTCAGCGTCAACGACAGTGACTTGGCGGTCGCGGTTTTCTTCCTTGCGACTGCGCTTCTCATCTCGACGTCCATCTCGGCGGCTCTGATCCTCCCGCTTGTCATCTCGGCCTCGTGTGATCACGAGTCGGTCGCGTTGCTTCTTGCGCTTCTCGCCGAGGATCCGACGATTGATTATCTGTTCCACCTTACTGATGTCTTCCAACTGCAAGGGGTACATCAAATCCATCACATCGTCATCACCACAATGCAGCAAGAAGTGTTCGACATGGTCAGCCGCGTCGGCGCCACCTTTCTCGTACTGGATCTTGGCTGTCCGAGCATACCCGTTGAGTCGGATCAGGAAGTCGCAGATCGGTTCATTGACTTTACGTCTCGCCGAGTAGTAACGAGTGCGGGCGGATTGGTCGAACTGTGAGCAATAATAATCCAGGAACGCCTCGCTGAGTAGTTTCCAACGTCGCTGAGTCTTCTTCGGCAGCTGCCTGTACCAACTCTTCGCCGCGCGTCCCAAGCATAGCGAGAAAGGTTCGCACCAGGCACTTTGGGGCATCCTGGTGCTCTTTATCTCGTAGATGAAACGCTTGAGATACTGGAGCGACGCGTCAGAGCGGTAGCGCTTTCCTTCGAACTCGGCGATTTTGTACAGAGCGAGGCGTGGGTTCGGACTTCTAGGTTCTGCGT